GACGTGACCCTGATTTAGCTCACGGGGGTTTGGGTTAATTGAGGTTGTAACAATTATCCTGTGATTGGTGGATGTGATTCTCCTTCTATTATGAGTTGCACCAAAAGACATAACAGGCTCTAATGGTGTGCCTCCAGGGCCTGATTCTGTTCCAGTCAAAATCAGTAGAGAAATTCTCATAGATTTCAGTAGAGGCAGGAAATCCATGGGTAGTGAAGCACAGATCTGAAGCATGTACATATATTTTTTTTGTATGAGTGCTTTTGCACATGTAGAACTATTTTTTAAAATTTCAATCCACACTAGATTTTGTTCCTGTGTTACAAAGGACATATTACTAAACTGGATCCAAACTTATTGCGTGATATTTATACTGTTTGCACTTAGTGAGCCAAGGCAAGTCAGATTCTAATTATTTTTAAGTTCAGGTTATTGTGCACTGGCACAATGTTGCTATTGTGTTTGGGAGTTCAACCTGGCACGGAGACTTGGTCCATTCCAAAAACAAATCAAAATTATTTTTAAGATATCATAAACAATTTCTTATTAATATTTTATACATTTTTAAAACAAAATCTAAATGTAAGTCTAAGTTAGCTGAGAAATTTGAATTGTTTTTTCTTTTTAAATGTAAAAGACGCTGTGAATAAATAGCCTATAGTTGGAGGACTCAGAAAGCAAATGTTCAAATAGCTGTAAGTAACTATGGTTGCATCCCAGCAATTTGGTTCATTCTGAGCTGTCCCTTTTTGAAATCAACGGTGCATGGATTGATGATCCTGCAGCCAAACTTATTATTTAAAGAAACGTTTGACCTTATGTTGTACTGTTGAGGCACTACATCTTGACTTTAGTAAAGCTTTTGATACTGTCTCGCATGATCTTCTCATAAACAAACTCGGGAAATGCAACCTAGATGGTGGGTGCAAAACTGGTTGGAAAACCGTTCCCAGGGAGTATTTATCAGTGGTTCACAGTCATGCTGGAAGGGCATAACGAGTGGGGTCCTGCAGAGATCAGTTCTGGGTCCGGTTCTGGTCAATATGTTCATCAGTGATTTAGATAATGGCATAAAGAGTACACTTATAATGTTTGTGGACGATACCAAGCTTGGAAGGGGGGTTGGGAGGTTGCAAGTGCTTTGGAGGATAGGTTAAAGTTCAAAATGATCTGGACAAACTGGAGAAATGGTCTGAAGTAAATAGGATGAAATTCAATAAGGACAATTGCAAAGTACTCCACTTAGGAAGGAATAATCAGTTGCACACATACAAAATGGGAAATGACAGCCTAGGAAGAAGTACTGCGGAAAGGGATCTGGGTGTCATAGTGGACCACAAGCTAAATATGAGCCAACAGTGTAACACTGTTGCAAAAAAAAAAAAAAAAAAAAGCAAACATCATTCTGGGATGTATTAGCAGGAATGTTGTAAGCAAGACACGAGAAGTAATTCTTCCGCTCTACTCTGTGCTGATTAGGCCTCAACTGGAGTATTGTGTCCAGTTCTGGGCTCCACATTTCAGGAAAGATGAGGACAAATTGGACAAAGTCCAGAGAAGAGCAACAAAAATGATTAAAGGTCTAGAACAGTGCTTGCTGGCTGCCCTTCCCGCAGCCCCCATTGGCCTGGAGCGGCGAACCGCGGCCAGTGGGAGCCGCGATCGCCCGAACCTGCAGACGCAGCAGGTAAACAAACCGCCCCGGACCGCCAGGGGCTTTCCCTGAACAAGCCGCGACCCGACTATGAGAAGCACTGTTCTAGAAAACATGAACTATGAGGGAAGATTGAAAAAAATTGTTTTGTTTAGTCTGGAAAAGAGAAGACAGAAGCTACATCTACACTAGAATCTTCAAAGCGTTGCTGCGGGAGCTCAGGAGAGGCTCAGGCGTGGTGCGTCCCCGACCCTGCGCCCCGGCCGGAGCGGGGACGAGCAGCACGGTGCGGCCCCTGACCCAGCGCCCCAGCTGGAGCACCGGAGTGGGGCCAAGATGCGTGGTGCGGCTCGTGGGCCGGCTTAAAATGGCTCACGGGCTGTAGTTTGCCCACCCCTGGTCTAGATAATATTTAGTCCTGCCATGAGTGCAGGGAACTGGACTTGATGACCTCTCGAGGTCCCTTCCAGTCCTATGATTTTTTTTTATATATATATATATATATATATATATACTTTTATTTATTTATTTATTTATATTTATTTTAAAAAGGGGGCAGTTACATTTTCAGTCTATTGGCAGATGTGACTTAGCTACAAGTTATATTTCTGTGTTCGAAAATGAGGCAGGTTGGGACAAAAGCCACTTTTTCACAGGATGATTGTTTACATTTGGCACAGAATTAAAAAAAGCTTATGCTGTCTTATGTAATAGTGGCTTTGTCCTCAGATAATCCTTTTTCAAAGATAGCAGCAATGATCTCTTCACAAGTCTCCTATGACAAGAACTCAACTGTTTTTGGCATCTTTCCTCATGAAAGATGCTAATAAGTTTTAAAGACTGTACTGGTGTGTGGGGTTTTTTATCATTCCAGTTAATTCTTTTGACTCTAGAATGACAAAACCCCTGGGATGGATTTACATGATAACCAGTCCATAGTAGCTACTCTCTATCACTTTCTAGGAGGTGAACTCTGATAGAAACTTAAGTCGGAATTTTAGTTTGGTAGCAGGTAATTACTCAAATTAGAATTAGGCCAGGACACTGACGTTGACAATTCTATATGAATAGGATGTGTCATGGGATCTTGAATGGCCACAGGTGGCCGGCAAGTTTTAAATCTCATTTGAAAAACAAAACCCTGTCCTCTTCTGGAATGCTGGGATGTTGGCTTAATACCAAGAAGGAAAAGAGCCACCAATTGAATCACCAGTACCTCTTCTTGTTGGTCTCATATCCCAGTGCTGGGTAGGTCTGTCCTTGCTTTAACTTGTGAAATTTGACAATGATGCTAGGGAACAGTTTGGTGTAACTGTTATCTTCAAAGTATGCAGTGACTGTACTGGGCAGTGTAGACAAGGCCTAATTTTGTTATTTCTGCATGTGCAGCTCGGCAGTGACTATAGTGCTGCATTCTTCTGTTGATTTTTCTAGTGTGCCCCTCCTTTCAGTTACTTTCCCTGCTTGGAGTCCTAAGATCACCAATGGGTTTTATACTTAAATTTTGGAAAAATAAGACATTTTTGGCAGTGCAGCTGTAACCCAGTGGTGCCAGTTTCTCTGAACAGGGCTACACTTCTGAGGGCTGGTAGTCCAGCGCCTGTCATAACTAATTTTTGTAACTACCTGAATGGTCCCTTGGTTAAGTCATTAGCCTGGGATATGAGAGACCTGGGCTCACTTCCCTGATCCACCAGAGACTTCTTGTATGACTGTAAGTCACTTAGCCTCTCTCTCTCTGCTTCTGTTCCCCATTGGTAAAATGAGGATACTAGACTTCCACCCCTCACAGGGGTTTTGTGAAGAAGAATACATTAAAAATTGTAAGGTACAGATACTACAGTAGTGGGAGCCATATAAGTACATTTGATAGAAATTCACTTCACTGGCATGGGCTGATTCTGAGAGTTGCTGAGCATCTACACTTCTCATTGCAAGAGTGGTAAGCGCTCAGCACTTCTGAGGATCAGGACCTTTGGGGCTTTGCAACACGCAGATGCCTGTGATGATGACTCATCAAGGATTAGTCTGCAGGTAACTACATCGTGGTTCATCCAGGGGGTTGGGAACTGGAACATCCTGCCTCAGTTACTCACTCTAGCCATTCATGTGACCTTGGGAGAGTTACTTAACCTTGCGCTGCTTCTTACCCATGTGTCAAATGAATTCATGGTCCATTTTGGTCAATTTCACGGTCGTAGGCTTTTAAAAATCAATCTCATGGTTTGAGATATTTACATCTGAAATTTCACAGTGTTATAACCATGAGGATCCCAACCTAAAAAAGGATTGTGGGGGGGGGGGACAGACACGGGGGAGGGTGTCGCAAGGCTACTGTAGGAGGGTCGTGATATTACCACTCTTATTTCTGCGCTGCTGCTGACGGAAGCGCTGCCTTCAGAGTTGGGTAACTGGAGAGCAGAAGGCAGGGCAGATGTGAGGGTTTCATGGTATGGGGGGGTCATTACTTGGGGGGGCAGGGCTGGTCTCATGGGGGGCAACGGCATGGGTGCCTGAACCTTTGTAGGAGTGGAGGGGGGGCACCAGTGCTGGAACTAGGAAGGCCAGGGGCCAGGCCCCCTTCTTTTAACATGGGCAGTTTGGGAGGCAGGGGGCAGCATTGCCCCCCCCCCCCAACTGCAAACCTTGGGCAGGTGTGGAGTGGCGCTGGCTGGGGCTGTGCTTTGCGGTGGAGGAGCTGATAATGGTGCCCCCCCACAGGGGTGGTATCCCTAGCCTCTGTTTGCCAGAAGCTGGGAATGAGCGACAGGGATGAATCACTTGGTGATTACCTATTAATTCACTCTGGGGCACCTGGCATTGGCCACTGTCGGAAGGCAGGATACTGGGCTAGATGGACCTTTGGTCTGATCCAGTCTGGCTGTTCTTATGACTCCTCCTCCTATATCTGGGGCGTGATGGGGCAGGAAGTGGGGCGGGGTTGCGGAGCTGCCTGCAGCTGGGGGAGGTTCCCAGAGGTTGGTTTGAATTGGCCCCATGAGTGGCCCCTGCAGGGGAAGAGCAAGTCCCAGCCCTGCCAGGACTAGCAGCTGGAGTCCGGCGTATGGTAGGAGCCCAGGCTGGGGTGCCCAAGCCCTGCCCCTCCTCAGCAGATTTCACAGGGGAGACGAGATTTCACGGTCTGTGATGCGTTTTTCTCGGCCGTGAATTTGGTAGGGCCCTACAAATAAACCTACTTATGGTCGATGCTAGTAATCCTAAGTGATCCTTAGATCTTGCTGTCTAAGCGCAATGTAATAAGTTTTTAGTACTGTTTATTCCTCGTGTGTAAGTAATATGCCTTCTTTCCTAGTCCTAAACAGTATATTTTTAATCTATGTTGCAGAACCTAAATTAATATCATGTGAAAGAACCAGAAATGTCAGACGATATCAAGAAGCGGCTGGAATTTCCTAACACGCTTATTCAGTCACAGGTAATTAACTTTTTAATACTAAGCTGGTGAATTGTCACATTCAGAACTTTTCATTTTATACACATACCTTTCCCTCTGCACCCCTGCAGTAAAGAGACAAAATGAACATTTCTCCTCCTTTGCCATTATAGGCATAAAATCAAAGCCAGCAGAGCTTTCTCATATAATAAACTGGCTAATCAACCTGACTGCACAATCCCAACATCAAACCCAGTCACCCACCACTGCAAAGAGCTCTCATCTTACTTTGCAGAATAGATCAACTGAATATGACAGGAACTCTCCATGTCTGCAAACTCTAAATGAGGCTGGATGGCATTAACCACCCAACTGCCTTGACAGAGTTTGACCCTTGTGGATGCCTTGTAGCTCTGGAAGTCCTTGGGAATATTTAAGCCACCACCTACTAAAAACAGATCCTTGCTACACCTGGCAAGTCGAAGCCAGTAGAGAACAGCTGCACCCATCAGAGAATGGCTGAGGGTGCTGATTGTTGAAAGTTACATTCTGATTGGCTGGCTAAGCCTCTCTGATGATGTCACAGCCATAAACCAACTCCCAGTGGTAGAGTTGGAATCTCATCACGCAAAATAAAAATATATCCCTATGCCCATTATTTTTAATGAGTCAGAGAATAATAATAGAATATGGTTAAAATATGTCATCCCTACACCCATGATTATTTTTAAATCATTAAAATATATATATATATCCATACTGTTTTTAGCTGCACAGACCATTAAACCTATAACCAGCTTCCACCTTTCCCTTTGCCTTTCTCTTCTTCCTGCTGCTCTGCCTTAAAAATTGAAATGCCATGCAGAACTCGTAATTTTTGTGGCAACCTGCTTCCTCAGCAGGACAGGTCACTGTGAACACAGTCAGTACAACTCGGAGGCTTTGCATTGCTTCCACATTTAACCCCAGTACACTGATTTACGGTAATCTTGTCTGTCGGAGATGTACGTAAAGCAGTGAGGCTAGATCCTTGTGTTGCGGGAAGGGGTGGAATTTCCTAAAAAGCTGGAGGTAGAAGGAAGGTATTTTTCATCACTGATGAAACTGGATCACTAAGACTTAATGAGAAGACAAACAGGACCCTGATGCTTTGAACCACCTGATAAACCGGTGTCAGATTCCTTCAGTGGAAAAGGAAAGTATCCTGGCTAGTTCTTTGTAGCATTTACCCCTTTGAAACAGCAGTGAGATTTGCTATCTGTTGCCCTGGGTGGTTATCTTTTAAGGTCACTAGTACTGTGTTTGTGCTTTGATTACTCCACTAGCTACCACTTTGCTTCTGTTGCCAGTTCCAGAGTTTTACACTGATCTTCAAAGCCATCAATTCATCAGGAGCCAATTTTCATGACCCAACGGTATAAACAACCACATCTCTATCTGTGACCCCCCCCAAGAAAGCTGCACTCTGGGACAATGTGGCTTACAAAGCCCAGGATAAAGATGTGAGGGCCATGTTCTTGGTCAAGGGGGTTTGCCTGTGAAATGATGTCCCAGAGGAAGCTAGGTTGATCCCAGAGTATTACCAGCTTTATTGAATACTGCAAAGCCCTCTGTATTGATAAAGCTTTCCCACCCTAACCAGAGTGTCTGTAAGGATGGGGTTGTGAATGTATATCTGAAGCACAGCTGCTTATAACCAGGAAAGAGATGAACAGAAGGCTCACTGAAGTCCATTAGGACAGTGTCATGCAGCTCTAACCAGTTAACTAGTGTGGGGCTCTCCATAGAAAATCTTAGATATCTGACTTTGTGCCATTCTCTTTCTTGGTTTACATCTATTTTTTTTTCTTTTTTTGGTAAAATATGTTAAAATACTTAAAACAGTGCATTGAATAATGTCATTCTTGTAATCTTGGACAGAATGAACTGGTTATAATTTGCGGTTGTGTTTTCTGGAAATGTGAACTGTTAACTAGAAGTATTATTACTGGTTTACATTTATAAAATCATGGCATGCTATCAACTAGTATCTGAAGGAAGATGTAATTAAACTATAAAAGGAGGAAGAGGGAGCTTGGAAATGTTTAAAACAATCTACATTCCTGTCCCTTCATCATTTCTTTACACACTAATGAAATAGAGGTGCTATTTTTTCTTTTAGCTGGCATCCTAGTTTTTTCTCTCAGACACTAATGATCTGCCCTAGCCAATGATGAATAAATTCAGCTTTTCTTTTGGATACAGTAATATCTAAGCATCTTATATATATTTTTATTGTGAAAGGATCTCTCACAAAGGCTTTCCGTTTAGAGACAGCAACACAAATGAAACAACAAAGAGCAAATAATTAGATATGAGCCAAAATTGTGGCTCCAAAAATCTGTACATGTGCAGTTGTTTAAAATTTGAGTTGGAATTGAGAATTTCAAGCAGTCTAGGGGACTTTGATACATCGTCCATTAAATTAAAATCTCAGCCCTCTATCTAAATTTTACTAATGAACCTTATTATTGTAATGGATATAAACAAAACGCCAGATCAGAATAATCCCTGAACTTTGGAGGTTTTTGAAATTCAAATACGAATTTGTTGCATGAGCCCATCTCTACAAAAGATACAACTTAAGTCGAATACAAGGGTTAAAAGTAACTAAGCATATTTGGCATTAACTACTCTGTGCAGTGTGGCTTTTAGAAGCAGTGGGCCTCATATAGAGCTGGAAGTCAGGACACTGTGGCCCTATTCCCAACCCTGCCACTAATTTGCTGTGTGACTTTGAGCAAGTCACTTAATTGCTCCCTGCCTTAGTTTCCTCGCTTGTTCGGTGGGGAGTATAATGCTATGTCTGTAAAACACTTTGAGATCTGTGGACAAACAGAGCTGTACACGTGTCTGTTGTAAGAGCTGATGTTCTAAAGCAGGGGTGGGCAAACTGAGGGCCACATCTGGGTATGGAAATTGTATAGTGGGCCATGAATGCTCACGAAATTGGGGGTTGGGGTACGGAAGGGGGTGAGGGCTCCGGCTGGGGGTGCGCTCTCTGGGGTGGGGCCAGAAATGAGTTCAGGGTGTTAGAGGGGGCTCCAGGCTGGGGCAGGGGGTTGGGTTGTGGGGCGCGGGGTTAGGGCTGTGGCTGGGGGTGCGGGTTCTGGGGTGGGGTTGGGGATGAGGGGTTGGGGGTGCAGGAGGGTGCTCAGGACTGGGACCAAAGGGTTCAGAGGGTGGGAGGGGGATCAGGGCTGGGGCGGGGGGTTGGGGCGCGGGAGGGGGTCAGGGTGCAGGCTCTGGGCGGCGCTTACCTCCTGGCCAATGGGAGCTGTGGGGGCAGTGTGCTCAGCCCCCTGGCTCCCCGTACACGTAGGAGCCGGAGGGAGGACATGCTGCTGCTTCTGGGAGCCGTGTGAAGTGGGGCAAGCCCCTGACCCTGCTCACCTGCAGGAGCTCGAGGCCCGGATTAAAACGTCTGGAGGGCCGGAGGTGGCCCCTGGGCCGTAGTTTGCCCACTCCTGTTCTAAAGTATCAACAACTTCTGCTTAGGCCTGATTAGGGTTTAGGTCCTAAACATGCAAGTTGTTCCATGTGGATGGACCCTCATGTCTATGCAGAGCTCTACTGAGGTTAGTTTCTGACAGGATAATAGTGCAAGGTGATATGGCTGCAGACTGGATATTGGTGGTTCTATGATACATTTCAACTTCTCTAGCAAATTGTTGTTTGGCATCTCTTGTTATCCACATGTTGCATTAACAAGCTCTTTGGCTTTCCTAGCACTGCAGCTGCAGCTTTGATCTTGGTCTCCTTTCTAAACAATAGTGCAGAGTGCCGCTTTAGCTGCATATTTTAATTATTTTTGTGTCTTTTATAGGCAGTGGGTCATCTTATTGCTGCAGTGCTAAAAGAAAATGTTTTATCCGACAAGATCAGACAGTCTACTAACCAGGTCTGTATTACTTTGTTTTCAACTTCTCTCCCACATCAGATTCCAAGCTTCTTCTGTGGTCTCCCATACTCTCTGGTTCATATTGAATAAAGTTGCAAATGCTGTGTTATGTTTCAGAGCATACAGCTGGAGATTGTAAATCTCTGTGATCTGAAGGGTAACCATTTTTTTCCATTTTGAGACCCAGTGGCTAATAGTAACCGACAATAGAGTGATAATGTTTAACTGGCTGCTAGACTTAGGCTGATGACAGTTTTGTTTTCGAAAATTTGCATCACTGCAGACAAGAATTTCATTGTGGGATCTGTGATGCTAATGAACTTTTCAAACAGATTATCATGTAATGCCCCTACATACATCATTGCAGTTCGTATATAAAAATCTTGCAAGTTAGACCTCAGAGTTAAAATTGCAGGACATATTTAATTTCAATTCTCTGTAGCTAAATGTTTCCTTTTGTATTAGCAAATTAGGGTTCATATTTCCTTATGAGACAACGTGACTCAAGGCCATAATTTACTTTTCAGTTTGTCCAACCTTTGTTAGTCGAGCGGCGTAGAAAATGCCAGTCATGATGAGTGTCACAGAGCACCATAGGAGAGGACTCAGGGTTGGCATTTCCTTTTCTCTAAAGGTGACCTGTAAAAGGGGAGAAGGAAGGAATGGTTTTGTGGCTTTTTTGTTTGTGTTTGGATATATAAAGACCTGAAAGATATCATTTACAAAGGTAGGGTTTTGTGTGTTTTACTTTAAGATATCAGTCGTGCTAAGTCTTGGTTTTTTTTGAAGTTCTTGAATGACAAAAATGTTTTAGATAAATTGATATTAAGAAATAGCAAATAAAATCTAAAGAGTTTAACAGCTTGAATAAAACTGCCTATCTTCCCCATCCCTCCCCCATGAGACCCTTATTCGGGAAGATACTTAAGCATATGTTTAACTTTAAGCATATGGGTTATGCCCATGTGCTTAATGTTGTACATTTCTTAAGTACCTCACTGAATCGGCTTAACTGAAAGGAAAAGATAGTACTGAAACGGGGCCTTAAGCAAGGTTTGCTTCCTTGTGAATGTAGTTGTGATGTCACTATATTAGTAGTTCTCTAGCCATCTATAGAATCTTCTATGGTAGACATGAATTTCTAAAGTTGAAAAAACCCAACTCTTTAATTTTTAACCTCTTTCCCCCTCATCCTGAAATATCTTAAACATTGGTTTAAAAAAATGACACAAACCCATTTTTTCCTTTTGCAAGGTGTCTTTAAAATGAAACAAACCGTCAGAGATGTAGGGTAAGATTTTCTTTCAGAGTAGTGTAGGGGATTTTGATGGACATATTCATTTATTTTATATTGACGATACATATCTGATTACCCTAGACTGCTCTGAAAATCTCCCATTTTCTACCTTCTGTGGTCTTTACACTTTTATAAGCTTATTGGTCTCAACTTCAGAAGAACTGAGTTTAGGTGAGAAGGACACTCAAGGTATTTAGATTCTGAAATGAAAACTCCTGTAATATTGATGATTATGGGAAATGCACATGTGTTTAAAGTTGAACACGTGTTTAATTTGACCGTGGGATACTGTTGGGAAGAGAGGTGGACTAAGAAGGGGAAGAGCATCTTTGGGCACCAACTTGCCAACCAGTGAGGAGGGCTTTAAGGTAGGTTCAAAGAGAGCAGGTGACAAAAGCCCACAGGTAGATATAAAAAAAGGTGACCTTAGTAGAGACATTGTGGGGGAAATGAAAAATTGTGTGTGTGTGCGCGCGCACTGCCCCAGCTCTGCATAGATAGCCGGCAGCAGACCTTGAGCGAACTGCCCAGTGACCACAAGATTCGTTAAGGTACGAAGGCGCCAGGCCAGGTTTATTGTTGGCAAAGCACAGTAATAGCACCTGGCAGACTTTACGAGGATATTAAGACATGTATGCCTGTGACAATGAATGGAGCTCAGTGAATAGTGGGACTTTCCATTTCCCCCTTGGCTGGACAAAAGATACTCCCTCTATGATACGTTTTATACCCTGATACAAACAAGTTAATACTGCCTTTGACATAGTTAGTTACTGCCCCCTGATGTGGCTAGTTATTACCCATCACCTTGTACATGCTGGTTTGATTAAAACATTTTTATTATGTACTGTTATCCTGACTATATCTTTTAGGAGGGGTCAGTGTGTTTTTGTTATTTTTGGGGAATATTTTTGTACCATTCTTGATATTGGGATGTTCTGGTACCACTTGATATTGGGATGTGTTCGCGTGAGTACTGTGTGCTTAGCACTTCTTAGGAACGTGTATATATAATTTGTGGATTACACCAAGCTGGGAGGAGTTACAAGCACTTTGGAGGACAGGATTAGAATTCAAAATGGAGAATTCGTTTGAACTCAACAAGATGAAATGCAATAAGGACACATAGGAACGAAAAATCAAATGCCCAACTACAAAAGGGGGGATAATTGATTAGGCAGTAATACTGATCTGGATTAGAAATTAAATACGAGTCAGCAATCTGATGGTGTTGTGAAAATGGCTAATATAATTCTGGGTTTATTAGCAACAGTATCATTTGCAAGATATGGAAGGTAATTGTCCCGCTCTGCTCAGCACTGGTGAGGCCTCAGCTGGAGTACTGTGTCCACGTTTTATGAAAGATGTGGACAAATTTGAGAGGGTCCGGAGGAGAGCAGCAGAAGTAACAAAAGGTTTAGAAAACCTGACCCATGAGGAAAGGTTGAAAAAACTGGGCATGTTTAATCTTGAGAAATGAAGACTGAGGGGGGACCTGGTAAGTCTTCAAATATGTTAAGGGCTATTATAGAGGATGGTGGTTAGTTGTTCCCCATGTCAGCTGAAGATAGGACAAGAAGCAGTGGATTTAATCTGGAGCAAGAGAGGTTTAGGTTAAGTATTAGGAAAACTTTCTAACTATAAGGATAGTTCTACTTACATCTTCTGTGTTCTCTTTGTAAGGGTTTCAAAGTGTTGATTTGTTAGAGTTTAAAAACATGTATTATCCTTTTACCTCTGCTCACAAACCAAATAGTAAATAGTAAATCAACCAATTAACAGATGTGTAGTATCAAAATAACAAAAAAAAGGGCCTGATTCATAACACAGTGAAGTCAGTGGATTTTGGATCAAGCTTCCCTGTATTCACAACTCCAGGTTAAGGACATATTTTGCTTAAGGTTGAAAGAATTTTGAAGTCACTTCAGTTCTACAGAGGGATTATTGCCTGTCTATAACAAATTCAGACATTTGGAAATGCAGCAGCTCTAAAAGCAGTGGTCCACAAACTTTTCCCAACATCTCCCCCTCCCCCCATCCATAATTGATCCTGTCCGTGCTCCCTCCTCCCCCCGCCCGGGAACCAAACTGAAACTTTTCATAGGAAAATGTTGCTTCCAACAATAAATTTTGAATAGAGATTATTAATTTGAAATTTCTCATGGGAAAACAAACTGCATTGGTAGCAAAAAGTACCTCAGACTTTATCAAAACTTTCAGATTTAGTAATCTAAGGTATTAGTAGCAATGTAGGTAAGGAAAATGTTTAAGACATTAACATGACAGTGTTGCTTTGAAGTGTCTGTGTGTTTATTAACAGAAAGTAAGAGATATTTTTATAAATGACCTACTTTGGCAGCATCATTGGATAACACAGGTTTGGTTGGCTTTGTCTTGCCTTTGTGTTTACTAAATACAGTAATGCCCAAAGAAAGCAGAGAACCTGATCTTAGTTGCACCTACTCTTTACTTTAAGTTGCATCTCTGGGAAGATGATGTCAGGCAGGGTTTTGTCTAATAGAAGGCTTACAGTGAATAGTATTTAACTTCTGTCAGCATCCTAAATGATTGTTCCCCATTTTTTTGATTTCAGACTCCTGCTTTGAACTTGCTCTGGGAGAAGTGCTGCAGTGAGAATGTGGTTGTGCGGACGGCCTGCTGCGAAGGCCTGGTGACTCTTGTTGCACAGGATTATGCAGAGTTCAGTTATGTTCTCAATACCGCTCTCAACCTGATTCCCTCTGCCAGGTAACATTCATTCACAGTGTTTGGGGCCTTTTGTTTGTCAGGTATCAGTAAAGTTTTAGGTCCCATCTCTTGTCCTAAACTTAAAATGTTAGCTCTATGGGTCAGGGACTGGGACTGTCTTTTCTTCTGTGTTTGTATAGTGCTGAGCACAATGGAATCCTGGTCTGTGACTGATGTTCTAGGTGCTAGCGTAATATAAATAATAATAGTTGTGCACATGTACATTATGCACTGCAAGTAGTTCCATGGACTTCATTGGGGCTTCAGTGCATAAAGTTGAGCACATACTAACACTCTGCAGGTTTGGAGCCTTGCTTATTGATGTAAAAAGACTTTATTTTTTAATCACCATCTAATAAAACATAATACACATACTTTCCCCTCCCATTTCAGCTTTTATTAAACTGAATTTCAAATAGAGAGAATCAACATGTCTTCTAGCTTTTTAATAAACAGATCAATTAAAAATAGGAAAAACAATTGCAAAGACATGGTTTTTTGATGTGGGAACTACATACCAGGATGAGATTAAGGTAGGGTAGAAAACAAAGAAAGGGGTATCTGACAGTTTTTTTTCTTAGAGATGTCTAATGCAGCAGTTCTGCAAACAATAAAGCTCATATGTAATTTGACCCATGTGGGTAGTCCCATTTATTTCATGTGTGAGAGTAATTTTGCACATATGAATAATCCCACTGGAATGTTTAGGATCTTGTCTGAAAATATTGATGGGGATGCAGGAGAGCTGGTTTCTAGTCCCAGTGCTGCTGCAGATTCACTGTGTAACCAAGGGCAAATCAATTTACCTCACTGTTACACTTCCTCTGTAAAATGAGAATAACAAAACTTAGCATCTCTCAAGGGTGTTTTGGGATAAATGTGTTGTGTGGTGCATAGATAATATACTGCTGAGCATCATAAAAAGCCTACAAATAAAAACATGTGAATGTAGTCAAGTACATGAGTGTAATAATGCTTGAAGATGTATTTTGTTAGTCTCCTTGCGAAGTTCAGTGAGATACTGTTCTGTCCACTGACTTATGGCAAGTGTTTGGTTTTTAGCACTAAGCCTTTCTGCATAGAGAACACTAGTATATTTTCTTGCTCAGAGCTACTAATTGATGCTACACTTGTGCTGTATTATGGGATCATGGTAGTGACCCCAGAGTCAAGGTTGCAGGAACCATGCCATTCAAAACATATTTGTAACTAACCCCTTTTAACTTTCACAAAATTAGGTTTAGGCTGAAATTTCTTGTGCTTAACTTCAGCCAAAGGTGATTGATTTTAAGTTTGTGTAAACTCAGCTGAACCATTTTTGAGTAATTCAGCTGATTTAAAAAAAAAATGCAGTATTGTTCTTTAAAAAATACATTACAGTCATTCCCAGCAGATAATTCAAAATCAGCTTACTCTGAAAACTTGCTACAAGGATGTCTGCTTTAGACCAGGTTTACAATATTTTGATTGGAATTCCCAGACAAAAATATTGTAAATGTGTATTACAGGAAACTGGCTAGTGTGTGCACATGTTGCCCTCTACAGGATAGAAGCAGAACAGTTCAGCTGTGTGTCATAGCTAACAAGCTGTAAGTGTGCTTTTGGAGCATGAGGATCTCAGTCCTATCCCTGCTGCTGCTATGAAGTTTTAATTAGTTGTGGTTAGCAGACTAGTAACAACTGTGAAATTCCTATATGGCTGTGAGTTTGCTACAATAGCAATAATTTAAGGAGAATATAATTTTAATCAAATTTTGTACTTTTGAAAACGTGTGTAAACCAGGACATTCAAAGTCAAGATTAACGTTAGAAACAAATGTGTGAGAAAGTTGAGTTAAGATATTTCAAACAAATCTAATTGTACCATCATTTTCACACCACTCTGTTCACCCTGCATGTGAAACAGATCCATGCCTGTGACTGGTATCTCAGATGGTTGATATGTTAACCACTGGCTGTGTTGGCAGTTTACCCATGAAACCCATATAATATATAAAAATCTAGTATATTTTGACATTTTTCCTCTGACTCCAAGAATTCAAACCACATCCACTATGATTTGCAAAACAGTATATGTAGCCGAACCACAAGGGTATATGGGTTTAAAATGTTTTCAACCACAGGGAGTAATGACTGACTAACCTAGCCTTTTCTTCTTGGTTCATTTTAACATTGATCTTTTTTTTGACCCTCCCAGACCTTGGCAAGCTGTTCCTTCATCCTGTTCCCTGCCAGATTTTTATTCAGATTTGTTGTGGGGCTTTACAACACTGAGTGCACTGTGTCTTTAAAGGCATGTAAACACGAAATTGACTGTCAATGGCAGCCCAGCAGAAAGGTCGTCAAAACTTGTGGGCTCCTTCCAGTTCTGTTTAAAGCAGGTGTGTGTTATGACAGTGGAGAAGACAACTTTCTGCCCTCAGCAACTCTCTGCATCTTCTGCAATGACTTTGGCAGGGGTTTAGCATACCTGCTGGTCTTTCTGCTGTGCTACCTATTTCATATGCCATGAAGGGCAACCTGTATTCTGGGATGGGCACTCCAGAGCTCACGTGGTTTGATATTTTGCGTGTGACACCTAATCATTTCACATTCAAATTATCATCCTCACTTCCCCATAAGTTTCCTCCTCAATCAGTTTTAAAGCTCTGCTGATTTCCTCTGATCCTTTAATACTACCTCCCTTACAGAATATTTCTATGGAATTTCATCTCATGGGGTTTTTTAACAGCACTTTTTACATAGAAATCTAAAATAGGCAATTTTTTAGAAAACACTCTTGAGAGAGACTGATCAATGCTTTACAGAACCATCATTAGGAATTAGACCCTTTGATATTACATAGTACGGGGGGAGGGATAGCTCAGTAGTTTGAGCATTGGCCTGCTAAACCCAGGGTTGTGAATTCAATCTTTGAGGGGGCCACTTAGGGATCTGAGGCAAAATCAGTACTTGGTCCTGCTAGTGAAGGCAGGAGGCTGGACTCAATGACCTTTCAGGGTCCCTTCCAGTTCTAAGAGATAGGTATATCTCGATATTTTATTTATTTTTATTTTTTTTAGAAAAAGATAATATTTACTTAGAGCCTGAACTTCATAGAATGTCTTGAAGTATCTTTAACTTTCCTAAGAATATCACTCTTACAAGGAATATTTGTTATCCCAGGCTTCCATGCCTTGTTTCTCAGCATAAAGACAATGGAGCAGCTCTTTAACTGGTGTAAATTGTCATAGATCCATTGACCTCAGTGGAGTTTCAATAATTTACACCATCTGAGGATCTGCCCCAATAATGGATGAAATTTGATGGCTTGTATAGTGCAGGAGGTCAGACTAGATGATCATAATGGTCCCTTCTGGCCTTAAAGTCTATGAATCAATGCCATTTATTGTTACATATTTAGGAAATTATTGTAAATAAATACTTGTTTGCGTTCTTTTAAATGATTTTTTCTCACATTAGGATTAATGCACACAGTGAGAACAGAACCCCCCTCTTTGCATTATTTAGTGAGGAGATCTTTTGTCTTAGTTCATAAATTACATACACGTCCTAACACAAACATCCCTCCCCTGATTCCAAGTGGGAGCTAGGATAGGATATTGTTGGTATTTTGTTATGAAAAGTGAGGCCTGCTGTTTTGTTTTGCTCAATCACTTCATAGTTACTCTTCTTAGATTGAGTGATGTGCGCTAGTAAGTTAACCGTGCCTTGAATTTTCCCTAAGGCCAAACATTCCAAAAATTGACCCTCTCTCCATCCCATCTCTGCCAGCTAGTATACCAACCTCCAGAAGCCTACTGCGGTCATCTTTTTCTGTTGCTTGGCAACAGGATTGTGAATAAAGCTGTAACCTCTCCTACGGTAAGGTTTTCAATGTTTTGATGCTGAGGAGTCATGACAGCCTGTGATTTTAATGATTACAAACATCTTAGAACTGCACCATTTACTTTAAAAAAACAAAAAACAAATACCTAGCAGTAGGATTCTGTCAATAATGAACTGCGCCAATGTTTAATAGTACCTTTTGCAGGAGTGCAGAAGACACATCTGTGGGAAGAGATGGACCGCTCACTGTACTTTGCATCCTGGAGATCAGTGTAAATTCTTGGGTGAGGAATCCACTCTGGAGATTCTGAAATCTTTAGATCCTCATGCCAATGACTCCCACCAATTGTTGTATAAACTTATGCTGAGCATTCATTTTGAAAAGGCTGTCAGTGTTGATGAAAAATAATAAAAACGTAGCAATCAAGTGATTTTGTGTGTTTCTGATTTCTTCTTAGGAATGACATGGATTTAGGATTATTGCACTGTAGAGATAATGATAGTTTATCCTTAATATAACACCTTTTATGGATGAATCTCAAAGCCTTTGTATATATTAATCAAGCCCCATAAATTCCCTGTAAGATAAGTTGTATTATCCCATCAGTGGGATAAAACACTGATTGTGTTTGAGGCCTTGCCAACATGAGAAAGATGTACCGATTTAATTAAATAGATAGCTATATATGTTCAACTTCCTTGTGTAGACAAGTCCTGTGGGTGTCAATGAAACTGATGTGGAAAGGTCCATTAAGATCCAATTTACAATAGCAAGTGTAGAGCATAATGTACCTTGTACAAGTCACTTAATGTTACTGTACCTCAGTTTCCACATCTGTAAAATAAGAATAGTAGTGTTTACTTGCCTTCTTCAAAGCACCTTTGAGATCTATGCATGAGCATTGTATAAATGTGATCAGAATCAAATTAGCTAAATCTGCCTGATGGTTACGTGCTTCTACTGGTTCCTATTTCACAGACGGGGAAACTGAGATACAGATTAAGTGACTTGCTTAGATATATTGCTCCCAGTGAAAAAAGGAGAAAGACAGTCATAAAATGTGTGGCTGTCAGTTTTCTTCTCTTGCCCACCCCATTTATTGTTTAAAGGAATTTCTCCTCATGTCTTAAAGTCATTTTATTCCTTTTCTCTTTCTGTTAGGTTTTTAATTCATGTGATGACTTGCTATCCCTTCTCTTTCTGCCAGTGGATATTTACTCATTTTGTAATAACTGAAATAAGGCTGGGGCAAAACCCAGTGTGAAGCTTTTAAGATGTATTTAGAGCACCCTGAAGCGTTGCTTATTCATTTTTAAAAATAATGGCTTATTTTTTCTCCTCTGCTTTATTTTAACCAAGGACTTAAAATTCATTCTATTTACCTGAGGTGGAATCAGGTTATTCCTAGTATGTTCTGGTTTTGAAAGCGCTGGAACAAAATATTAATTACAAAATAGTAAACAAAACACTCAGGATTGTCCCTCTGCAGAACTCAGCCAATGGACTATTGAAATCATGGTCTAGAAAAAATTTCTGATTGCCCGGCCAGTGTACTTGTTTTTCCTCCGTCTAGACTGCAGTAGCTTCTGTTAGAGCCTCTCGAGAAGCTTTTTAAGATTATAGGGAATCCTATAAAACCTCCAGAAATCCTATTGCTGCTCAGTAGGTTTTCATGAATAGTAAATGAGGTAAGGTGGGGAGAAGGAGATAAAGCAATTTCATGGAAGGACCCCTTACTGCTCCAGTCAAAAGTCAGAAGAGCAAACCCGTTGTCCTGAGATTCTCTTAGGAGTTAATTTTCAATGTCGGGGATTTAGATCCATGACACTTGATAATCAGAGTTGCATGGTAAAATCTGTGCCTACTGTGCTGAATATTTACCTTTTTTATTCTTGCAGTCAGGAACCTGTTGGTTTTAATATGATAAAAATACTGCATTAGAGTAAATTATTAACAGTAAATTAGTGCATTTAGAAGGGTTTTCATCTTCAAAGTGCTTCACAGACATGGATTGGTCTGTTAATTCTCGATTATAGGTAAGTAATATCAATATTTTGCACATAGGTTAAGTGACTTGCCTTAGAGGCAGTAACTGTCAGCTTAGGGAGTAGAACTCAGGAGAGCTGAGATCTCAGTTTTGTGCTTGGATAACTAGATCATACTTCTCATGGAAGGGTCAGTCAATCCACTGTCCTTTAGATGATGATGATGTTATATATTCATTGTGTTTCAACAGGAATGTACATGGTTTGGTAAAAATTATTGGGAAATTACTACAGATGCAGGCCGTTACGGTGGGAAAAAATGGAGATGAAGCTGTTCGGGATTTGTATTCAATCAGGTGAGCTTCATGTGTGCTGAGTGTGTGTGTTTTAATAATCACTATTTTTAAATGACAAAAATTTGCACATATAAGTGTTTACTAACCCTCTGATACAAAAACAGCCATTCTGCCACTGGGGCTAAAGGAGACTTTACATTAGCTAATGAGTAGTAATCATCCTAAAAGCAAAGGTTTCAACCCTTGGTCAAAAGGTTTAAGTAACATTAGCCCCTTCCTTTAAATGGAGAAAGCAGAGTAGAAGACTTGACTGAGCTTAATGGAAGAAGTGTATAGTAATCCCTGAAAGAATAGGAGGTACTTAAAAGAGGAGACATTGGATGCCTGGGAGGGAATCATAGAGAAAAACTCATTTTATACTCATTAGTCCACAAAAGATATAGAGCCAGCATCTGTGTGCTGTAGTGCTGCCAGAACTGGGGATCTGTAGAGCCCCTGGAATATGGTCCCACAATAATAATAATTGAATGCAGTTACTAGAGCCTTTACCAAGACTCCGCTTTTCTGATACATACATAAAATACTTGCTGCCATTATGGTGTAATAATATGATTGAATAAAACTGGATGTTTTGTTATGGTAACTATAGAGCTTTTGCCATTTATATAAACTCATATACAATGCTATTTGTCAAGGTTATGTTATTTTGTTATATTTAATTTTGTAAGTGAAAGAATTGTTTTCCAGGCAACATAGGGCACTCTTGATGAGTGTTGCAACAATACTTTACATATATAGAGTCTTTCAGATCCCCAAAGCACTTTTAGTCTGCACCTTCCTCTTGACCAGAGGAAAATTGCCTTTCTTGCCAGCATGTGACAGTTGTAGGATAAGAAGTGAAAAATGCTGTGAAATAGTTGAAATTACCGGGGAGTCTAGGTTGGCAGAATGTAACTATCTGAAGTGGTGATGAATCAGGATCCCAGTGATAATGCCCATGTAACATTGATATGGGGTACAGAAGAGCCTTACTAACATTTTAAATGTTAGTCATCCGATGACACTGATTCACTGAGACCACATAGATTTTCATGCCTGGACTGTAGTTTCCCTGTGTGAGAGAGAGAGAGAGAGAGTAATTTTGAGGGTCCTTCTTACTGCAAGAAAGATGTGTACCCTGTCCATCCAGTTGTACCACTGGAAGTTAGATTAGAAAAAATGGTCAGTACTGCTAAGAAGGAAGTGATGCTGGGTGAAGCAACCAGATGAGGTGTTGGAATTGATATCTTCCCCTCTGATACCTGCCTTTTATTACTCATGTTTGCAGTCTAGGGGACCTGTTGGTTCATCAGCTCTTCCAGATGGTCTAGATAGCAGCAATACTAGAGTGATTTTTGTGGTGGTTCTGCACTTTCATATAGCCAGAATATTAAAATGTTATCACAGTCATAACACAGTTGTTACTTACTGGTTGGCCTACTGCAGCATGTTTTGTCTGGGTCTGATGGCAGAGGCTAGAAGCTGCATGTGATAGGTTCCCCCCAGGGTTCCACTTGGAACTGGAGTACCACTGAGGCTGCCTGACCCACCAGCCTGAGCTCCCTTTCCGACTGTGATAAGGTGCTGTGATAAATTGCCAAGCTCTCCAAGCTTGCTCTTTCACCAGCATACACATAGATAGGGACACACCCAGCTACAGTTTAATCCAGATGCTGAGATCAACTCTGCATGGGAAGGCTCAACTAAGCCATCTCTCAGTTGCTAAGGCACGCACCCCCCTCTGGAACCCAAAATTATACCGTCTTGCGTTGCACAAGGAACTGTACAGAGTAAGCTCAAAATTTGCCCCCTTCCTCAATGTGGAGAAAGATATGCAACAGCTTTCTACCCCAAGTTAACATTTCCACACACTGACTTTTAGACAAAACAAAAGCAAATTTATTAACTACAAAAGGATAGATTTTGAGTGATTATAAGTGATAGCAAACAGATCAAAGCAGATTCTCTTAGTAAATAAACAAAACTGCAAACTGAGCTTAATACACTAGATAGGTAGGATATGAATTAGCAAATTCTCACTCTGAGTGATAAACAGGCTGGCAGATTCTTAAGGCATAAGCTGCCTTGGCTCTGCAGCTTGGGTTTTCCAGGTTTTCATACACAGGCTAGGAATCCCTCTAGGCTGGGACTATCACTTCCCACAGTTCAGTCCTTGCTCCTCAGGAGTTTCCAAGTGTGTTGTTTTAGAGAGAGTGAGGTACCATCATGATGTCGTTTTTTCCCCTTTGATATCTTTTTTCCACCTGCTGGAAAGCTCTTTTGCTGTGACTGGGTCAAGCAGTTCCCAGTGTGTAGTGCTATCTCTGAGAGGTTTCTATTGTACACATTTCTTGGGGTAATCCTTGTGCTTGTGTGCATTTCCTCAATAAGCCATTAACATTGTTTGGCCTTTTTACTGTTGTACCTGAAAGGCTGCTTGTGGGTGTTTTCAACCTCACAACATGTTTCAGCAACACATACATAGCCAAACTTCATAACTTCACATACAATCCAATGAGATATTACTGACTAGCAGATCAAGACATTTAGAATGATACCTCACAAGCCATACTTTGTACAAAACATATCCTAGTTACATGACAGTGGTGAATATTGGGGTCCAAGGGTGTCAAACTGCAGTTGATATATTACATAACATCTCATCTCCTCAGTAGGGCATATAAACAAGTGTATTGTTGCAGTGCTCAGCAGTCTTCAGTAGCTCCTAATCTAATTCTGGAACTACTTCAAGGTCTTGGTGATTATATTTTAAAACCTTGAATATGCTAGAATTGGAATATCTCTCAGCCCATCTCTCTCTATCAATGACGTGTCTCAGCTTCACCATCTCAGTTGATTGTACTTGTTGTGACTGATCTTCTTAGGGGAAACTCCAATTAACTTGGGATTGGGCATTTTTGATGGAAGCTCCTAGGTCATGGAGTCACTTACACTGGAGATCTGTGACCAAGTCTTGCTGCTTTTAGAATACAGTCCCAAGCCTTCTTTGCACAGGACTTTCCTTAGTAGTAGAACTGAACTGTGTCTGGCCAGGCATTGGGCTCTTGGAAGTCTATCACCAAACTGATCCCACCTAGGACAACAGATATCAAGAATGCAGTATGGGGAACGTCTTGGTCCTAATTTGTGTGTGTGAATACATTGAGACTCTATTATGCACCTGGATGCTATGGTGAGATCCCCTTCAGTGATGATTAGATGAATAGAACCTAGAATGCCTTCCTCCCACTTGTGTCACTAAACCACTGGGCACAGCTTTGTTTTTTCTATCAAATTATGTTTTCTTTCTATCTCCTTCTCTTTCTAAATTGGGTGCCACATAAAAATAGTCCATGTGTCCCCAAAATTACTACACAGATAGTATAATATAGTATTAGCATAGGGAAATATAGTATTAAAGCATAGCTTTAAGATTTCAGCTAGCTCTATAGTAACACTGAGTAAATGTTGACTTACTAGTGGCCACCACTATATCCGCTTTCCCAGACATGGATCTTGGTTTTGTAAAATCCCATAATACTGTGCAAACTCCTTTTTATGACAAAGAAAGAAAGCTGTTGACATAGTAGTTTTCATCAGGAGAGAAATAATTCGCAGCTTAGTGGTAGTTAGGATTTTTGTGTGCAGATGGAGCACACTTAATTCCCAGTTTCTTTGTTCCTAGCCAGCTCTAGTGGTGTTGTCCAGCTCTGAAACCTCTTTGGCTAAAATTATGATGATGTAAATTAGTGTGGGAAGGGATGGTTAGAGCCGCTACAAGAATGTAGCGCCTCCCTCGCCTTAGGGGAGAGAGGGACTTCCAAACAATTATAGCTGCTGACAGAAGTGTGGAAGGTGGTGTTTAACAGTAATTTTAAAACTATTTAAAGTAATTAAGAACTGAAACTAGGCATCATGACAAATCAAGCCTTGTAGATTCAGCCAGCGTCTTGCAGCAGGCTTTTGTTGCTGCTAGTTAATTTCTTGGAGAGGTAGAGTCAAATGGACAAAAATGGATCTAAATTTTGAACACGCAGGAGTTCAGGGTGTTGAGATTCCGGGTTTTGGCTTAAAGCCCTTCTGTACATTAGGAACTAAATGTACTTTTTTAAAAAAAATTCAAAGACTTGTCAGGTTACGTTTTTAGTCACACAATTTTATCAGTTGCTATACTATATTTCCAGCTTGTAACTACTGTGTCACACTTGAGGTTAATGTGAAGCTGTCACAAGACTTTCTTTCCTAAAGAAAAGGGAGAGTATACCCAATAACTCCTGAAGGGTGACCGCCTTTTAACAATATTCATGTAGTGCGCTGTCAGATATGCAAAAATGTTCAATGCAAAAATCACTGGAGAATTGATGAAGCACCAAAATGTGAAATAGACAATTATTGTCATCTTTTCTGTCATCTTTTTAAAATAATAGTACAAGTTAAATAAACTTAGGGCTTAGTGATGTTTTCTATTGACTAAGACCAACTTATTATGGCCTATCTATTTTGGTAACATCACACTATGAAGAATTCTTAGAAGGAAATTGAAGCTCCTGATGTCTTGCAGTTACTTTTGGTTTTTGTTTCTTTAATGTTTGACACTCTTACCAATAATTTCTTTGTCTCCAATTTTGCCATCTTTTGAGGAAAATTATTAGGGAGGTTGTGGCAATGTAGCTATGGCTCTCTCAATTTTCTATAGTCTAGTCTAACGCTATAAACTAATCAGCCTATTTCTCCTGTGAAGGAAAAATGAATGAGATTTTTCTATTTTTAAGACATGTAGGGTTGGAAGGGACCTCAAGAGGTCATCTAGTCCTCTTTCTCCCCTGCCCTGCTCTGCTCTGTGCTGCGGCAGGATTAGGTATGCTGGACTGTCCTGAACATCTGTATTCTGATAGATGCATATGAGGTGTTCATTTGATCTCCATGATAGTATATAAGTACTTAGATTCTTATACCCTACCCTTCCCTCTGGTACTGGAGTCAGGAGTTCCTTGATCCTTTACAGTATGGTTTTAAACATG